ACAGTATTAATAATGACAATAATTGTAATGATAATAATCTGAATCAATTGTTTGTTTTTCAAAGCGAGAAAGGTAATTTCCGTAGGCATAAAGAGTTCATCAGTTTGTGTGTGGGCTGTGATACTGCCCGGGTGCCCAAACCGAAGCAGGTGGTTATCTTAGGGGGCCACTCCCCGAGCCTTTGACCTAAAGGTCTAACCCACAAGGCAGTGGAGCATCGTAAGGAGATGCAGTCCCATGGTAGCCGGTGACCAACGATTGGTTCATACGCCATTCGTTCCCGCAGGATACTGGAGCCCATGTGCACCATTGATTTGGAATCCGGTTAAAGCGCCGGACATTCGCTTTTCGTCCTCTCATTTTCGTAGACAACACCCCCGCCACGAGAAGGCAATGAGTAGGACTTCCCTGGCAGAGGCTGTATACGCGTGGCCGTGTGAGAGTATTTCGAGAGGGAGAGCGAACTCTCCCCACTCTCGGCCGTACCAGGGCATTCAGGGGGGGATAAGTCTACTTTTGATTACATCCAAACTATTGGTTTACGTCATGCTTTGTGGATTGTTCAAAGCCCGGGAAAGATTGAATCGCAAGAGGCAGGCTGGATTTCGTTCTGGTTGAAGATGTATTGATCATATCTTTACCCTCCGCCAAATGTTAGAGCACTGTTATACTTATTAGTCTAACAATCGTAGTGTTCCCTAACACCAGGGCTGCTTTTGATTCTTTGTACAGAAGTGTTCTCTGGGATTGTCTATTGAAGAGAGGTGTGCCTGAGAAGTCTTTTAACATCTTGAAAGCCCTATATACAAACGCGTCAGACAGAGTGAGGGCATACAACCATCTCTCTCCATTGTTTCATTTTAGCATGGGGCTAGACAGTGTTGCCTAATCTCACCATTCCTCTTCAACTTTGCCATCGATGACATTCTAGGAACAGCTCTGATAGATATAGGTAGTGGTGATGTGGATCTGTTACCTGTAGAAAGACTTTCTAACCTTTGCGGATGATATTGTCTTACTGTCATACCCAAGGCATGCAATCCTCCCTTAATCAGTTAGCAATTAGTGTCCGTATGGTATATGCTTTGCACCTTCTAAGTGCAAAGTACCTTTACTAGACTGGTAAGACCCTGATCCTGCACTCACCCTGAGTAGTGAGCCGATAGAAGTAATCGAGAAGTTCGTGTATCTAGGCAGCTGCATAAGTGCTGGTGGTGGCGTGAGTGATGAGATCAATTCACGTATAGTGAAAGCCAACATGGTTTCTGCCAATCTGGGTCATCTTTGGCGCCTTCGTGATGTTAGTCTGGCTGTAAAAGGTCGGATCTACAACGCATCAGTGAGAGTAGTTTTGCTCTATGCGTGTGAAACCTGACCTCCGAGTTGAGAATGTTAGATGACTCTCTGTGTTTGATCATCGTTGTTTTTGAGGGATTACTGACATCCAATGGCAACACCATGTTAGTAATGCAAAGGTTTTGCATCATGTGTTCAGGCACAGTAATGACAATTCAATTGGTATCACTATCTTGATACATCGACCACGATGGCTTAGGCATGTCTTACGAATGTCGTGCCAGAGAATTCCACGTCGTGCATGATTTGTTGACACTGGGACTGGTTGGAAAAAGCCGAGAGTTGGTTAGTGTATGATATAGGCATACTTATCGACGTCCAACAATGGTGGTCTTTCTTGACTTAAAAGCAGCATTTAACTCTGTAGACCGCGAGATTCTGTGGCAGTGTCTGTCATTGAAAGGCGTACCCCAGAAGTACATAAACCTTGTAAAGGCTCTTTACTCGAACACTACTAGTCGAGTCAGAGCTTATGGCGATTTGTCACCTGCTTTTGCAACCTCAAGTGGTGTCCGTCAAGGCTGTCCACTTCCTCCATTTCTGTTTAACTTCATCATAGACCTACTGATGGGAATAACATTCTCGTCGACTGAATTCTCGGGTATTGATCTCCTAACAGGAGATCTACTTATCGACTTAGAATACACAAATGACATAGTCCTGTTTGGTGAAGACGCTGACAAAATGCAGAGTCTTTTGGTAGCACTAAGCAACAATGCTAGAATGTTTGGGGTGGGCTTCTCTTCCTCTAAATGCAAGTTGTTGCTTAAGGACTGGTCTGCGTCAACACCTGAGCTAAGGATAGGGAGTGAAGTGGTCGAACGCGTCGACAACTTCACTTATCTTGGAAGTCTGATCAACCCTAATGGGTTGGTATCGGACGAAATCTCAGCACGGATTCGAAAAGCTCGTTTGGCTTTTGCCAACTTACGTCACATTTGGCGAAGGCGAGATATCCGTCTATCAATAAAAGCAAGAGTATACTGCGCGGCAGTCCGTTCTGTTTTAATTTACGGCAACGAAACATGGCCTTTAAGAGTAGAAGACACCCGTAAGCTACTAGTATCTGACCACAGATGCCTAAGAAATATTGCTGGCATCTGTTGGGATCACCGGGTAAGTAATAGTGAGGTTAGACGCAGGGTATTAGGTTATGATGGTAAATCAGTTGATGAGGTTGTAAATCTTCATCGACTGAGATGGTTGGGCCACATGTTACGTATGCCTGAACACCGATTACCACGTCGTTCAATGCTAACGGGTGTTAGAGATGGTTGGAAGAGAATTAGGGGCGGCCAAACCAAAACGTGGCATCAGTGCTTGAAGTCACTAACCTCCAGTCTGAGCCATGTTGGTAGATGCAGACTACTTGGTTGGGGTCCGCGTGGCTTTCGTAACCGATAGTTGGAGACTCTTGGTGACATGGCTCAGAATCGATCACAATGGCGTCGGTGCATACACTCCCTGTCTTCCCTTAAACTGAGAGATTAAAATTGCTTCATATCTTTCTTTCTACTAACTAATTCTTTCTTCCTGTACTGTATCCTTATATGCAATCTTTCTCCTATATATTACCACCTTTAACCTAACCACTCCTATGAATCCGATGTTCACCTTGCTGTGCTAATGAGGTATGGGAATCTGGACCGATGCATATATGTGCCTGGTCCTACATTGTAGCTGACTGGAGTGTATGATATGGCGTTGTGGTATGAAAGAAAGCTGTACAGGATTGGGATCTGTTGGTCCCTCACGATTCCCTAGAAAAACAGTTAGGCAGCCATATAAGTGATGCCCACCCCGAGACAGTGTGGAATGATATCCGAAAAGCTGTGGAAACATCAGTGATATCTGCTAATAAGGTAAACCATAAGGTTAAGGAGAAACACTGGATCTCAGCAGAACCTACCGCATTGATAAATATTCGAAAATTTATCGCATCTGGCTCTGAACATGACTAAGAGCGGAGTCAGCTTAAGTGCAGGATGATAAGAAGCCTACACAATGATCGCGAACAGTGTTGGGTAGCGAAAGCAAGAGAGACGGAAAAGGCAGCGGCCATAGGTAGCAGCAGACAACTGTTCATACTTGTTAAGAAAACCGGTATTAGGAACCCAACTGTTAGCGAAACTATCTCCGAAAAAGATGGACATATTATTCATTCTCAATCCAGGAGATTGGATCGATAGGCAGAACACTATAGGGATCAGTTCAACTAGCCTTCGGCTTCCCACGATCTCCAGTCAACCTGAATGGCAAGTTGACGTAAGTCCTCAACTTCATCAGTTGAGATGGCTGGGACACGTGTTACGTATGCCCAACTACCGACTGCCTCGACGTGCGATGTTCAATGGTATAGGAGTAGGTTGGAAGAAAGCTAGGGGCGGCCAGACCAAAACATGGCATAAATCCATGAAGTCACTGACAAGTGGACTGAGTCATGTTGGTAGGTGTAGACTACTTGGTTGCGATCCGTGAGATGATAGCAATCGTTGGTTAGAGACCCTGAATGACATGGCTCAAAGTCGTCTGCAATGGCACAGGTGCATCCACTCTTTGTGTTCTCCTAAATTCTAATCTTCTGGATTCTTCATGTCCCTTTTTTCCTCTTTCCAGATTTGTTTCACTGAATTATACTCCTCGAATAACATCTTCAAACCCTAATGTTTCCGATTACTGCCTATACTTTTACTACCTCTACCACTACGGAATTTGAATCGACCATTGTACTAATGTGGTATGGCAACTCGGACTGATGTACGTACGTACGATGTTCTATGTTGTCACTGACTGACTCACGATTCCCTGGTTGGGATCCTAGAGTTGGTGCAACACTGGCTTGAGACGTTATCATAAAAGGCTCAAAATGGAAGTCAGTGGGGATTTTGCTGTAATGTTCTTTTACTTTCTTCATTTAAGCGCTATTAACTTCTCTAATTCAAAGAATCACTTCTGGTAGTATTTTTTCTATTGAACTGCCTCTCCCATTAATATTTTTTTCTACTACAACTCATTTTTCAAAATACTCACTTCCCCTTCTCTCCACACAACTTCATTTTCTTACTGTGTGGCGCATATATATTTTGGTATATCTTTGTGCCACTATTTACGCTGAAATAAATAAATAACTCAGTAAAGCATAAAAGATCTCTTCACTCTGACATAACTTGATGTCTCCATTCTGCTGTGAAAGCATCAGTGACGATTTTTAGCAACCTTCAGGAAGATGTTAATAAAGACTAGTGGGTTTTAATAGTTTTGATATTAATGGGTAAGTCGATCGTGTGAAAACAGTAATACAACCACAGTTCTTTTCACCGCGAATTCGTTTACAAACACCGTTAGGGAATAATTTCGAATTATGCAACTGTTCGACTAGGTTGTGGCATATTAAGGACCATACCATTCATTTAGATTTCAGTATTCCGATTGTGTTCAGTTAAATGTACCTTTTACATCGATGGCATATGTTCTGTAAGTTTGAAATAAGTACCTTGTACAAATATCGGAAAGTGTGCACTATGCGGATTCCATCCACTTAAATTCATACCAAGTCTCTCTTTTCATTATTGAACACTGAGATGACTACATGTCATGTATATGTCGTTCTGTGCAGATCACTAGTATTCTTTCTAATTAAACAGATCTAGCTCGACCAGAAACAAATCATAAAACCGCTGGATTTACTGATCAGGAGCGATCAGGTTTCACAAAATTGTTATCGTCAGCCAATTTAATTGATACCTATCGTCATTTTTACCCAGACCGTCGAGGAGTGTATTCTTTCTGGAGCTATCGAACAGGAGCGCGCTTAATCAATAATGGATGGTAAGTCCCTCTATATATATAATTAATATTTCGTGTTGATAATTATAATAACAACAAATTTAACCGTGGTAAAAATATTGTGATCAGATATAAGCAGAGAAAGTCAAGGCACAAGCTGAATACACAGAAGCAAACAAGCACGTGAAGAAGAGCATTGGAGCTGACATGCAGGGATGCATTGAAGGCCTAGCAGCTACAGCGGAAAAAGCTGCAAGAGAAGGAAATATCAGACAACTAAATGATATCACGAAGAAAATAGCAAGGAAATATAGTAAACCGAAGAGACCAGTCAAGGAGAGAGAATATAAGCTAATCAATGGAATTCAAGAACTGAAGAAAAGATGAACAGAACACTGAGGAACTCTTGAATAGACCAGCTCCATTAAATTCACCAGACATCGAAGCAGCACCTGTAGACCTTCATATAGCTGTCACTCCATCAACGATTGAAGAAATCAGGATGACCATCAGAGAAGTGAAGAGTGAGAAAGTGTCAGGACCTGACAATATATCAACTAAAGCGCTGAAATCAGACATAGAAGTAACTGAAAACATGCTCCACGTTCTATTCGGGGAGAAGTGGGAGGAAAAACAAGTGCCGATGGACTGTAAAGTAGGATATCTCATCAAGATATCAAAGTGAGGTGATCTGAACAAATGTGGGAACTACAGAGTCATCACGTTACTGTAAGTACCAGGAAAAGTTTTCAATAGAGTGTTTCTGAACCGGATGGAAGATTCAGTAGACACCTGACTTCGAGACCGATGGGCAAGATTCCGTAAGGATCGGTCGTGCGCAGACCGGATCGCGACATTACGGATCATCGTTAAACAATCAGCTGAATGCTACTCGTCACTATACATAAACTTCCTTGATTTGGAGATGGCGTTTGACAGCGTGGATAAGAGAATCTTATGAGACTTTCTTCGACACTATGGTGTACCCGAGAAAACTGTCAGCATCATCCGGAATTCATACGACGAACTACACTGCAAAGTGGTGCGTAGGGGACAGTTGACATGCATTCCAAGTGAGGACCAATGTTAGACAATGCTACTTACTCTCCCCCTTACTATTTCTTCTGGTGGTTGACTGGATTATGAAAACCTCCACATCTAAGGAGAAGCACGAAATACAATGGACAGCTTGGATGCAACTAGACGATTTGGACTTTGCAGATAACCTGGCTCTTCTAACACATACACACGAACAAATGCAGGTCAAGACAACCAGTGTAGCTTTAGCCTATGTATCAGTAGGCCTCAACATAAACAACCAACCCAATCACACTTGATGGAGAAACTATGGAAGAAGTAGAAACTTCCACGTACTTGGGTAGCGACATAATTGATGAACAAGGAGGGTCTGATGCAGACGTAAAGGCGAGGATCGGCAAAGCAAGGGCTGCATTCCTACAATTGAAGAACATATGCAACTCAAAACAACTATCAACAAGTATCATAGTCAGAATCCTCAATACGATTATTTTATTATTATTTGAACACATGAATATTGGTACAAGAGAGCGCCAATATATATGCGCCACACAAAACAATGAAATTCGAAGAGAAATAGAAAAAAAAACTAAAGAGCGCAAAAGAAAAAGAGAACAATGACGAAGAGATTGGAGTAAGGTAGTGTGGTAGTAACGACGGAACGAAAAGGTACAATCAGAAGAAATCTTTCAGGTAAAGGAGACACAACCACTTTTTATGAAGAAAGTAAAAGAAGGTTACAGCAGGATCGCCACTGGCTTCTATTCTGAGCCATATCTGATAACGTCTCTAGCCACTGTGTAGCACCATCTCTCAGACCCCAACCAGGGAGTCGTGAAGGACCAACACAAGCCAGTCCTTTGCAGCTTTCTTTCATGCCACGACACCATGTCATGCACTGACCACCTCTCCGCTTCTTCCAACCAGTCCCAGAGTCGGCAAATAATGCACGACGTGGAATTCTCTGGGACGACATTCGGAGAACATGTCCAAGCCACCGAAGTCGGTGTTTCAAGATGGTGACACCAATTGAGTTATCATCTCTGTGCCCGAACACACGATGCCGAACCTCTGCATTACTGACATGGTGTTGCCACTGAATGTCAGCAATCCTTCGGAGACAGCGATGATCGAACACAGAGAGTCGTCTAACGTCCTCAACTCGGAGAGGCCAGGTTTCACAAGCATAGAGCAAAACTGCTCTCACCGACGCGTTGTAGATCCGACCTTTTACAGCCAGACTAACATCACGAAGGCGCCAAAGGTGGCCCAGATTGGCATAAGCCGCTCTGGCTTTCACTATTCGTGCATTGATCTCATCACTCACACCCCCACCAGCACTTATGCAGCTACCCAGATACACGAACTTCTCAACTACGTCTATCTGCTCACCGTCCAGGGTGAGTACAGGATTAGAATCCTGCCAGTCTTGTAGAAGTACTTTGCACTTCGAAGGTGCAAAGCACATACCATACCTACGGACACTGATTGCCAACTGATTAAGTGCGGATTGCATGCCTTGGGCATTATCGCACAGTAAGACAATATCGTCCGCATACTCAAGGTCGAGAAGTCTTTCTCCAGGCAACAGATCCACACCACCATTACTTACATTCATCAGAGCTGTTTCCAGAATGTCATCGATGGCAAAGTTGAAGAGGAATGGTGAGATTGGGCAACCCTGCCTAACCCCACTGCTCGAATGGAACAATGGAGAGAGGTGGTTGTATGCCCTCACTCTGCCTGAGGTGTTTTTATATAGGGCTTTCAGGATGTTAATAAACTTCTCAGGCACACCCTTCTTCAATAGACAATCCCAGAGAACAGTCCTGTCCAACGAATCGAAGGCAGCCCTGATGTCAAGAAACACTACGATTGTTGGCCTTTGAAAGTATGGCGGTGTTCTAACATTTGGCGGAGGGTGAAGATATGATCAATACATCCTCGACCAGAACGAAACCCAGCCTGCTCCTCGCGAGTCAATCTTTCTCGGGTTTTGAACAACCTACGAAGAATGACGGAAGCCAATAGCTTGGACGCAATCGGAAGTAAACTTATCCCCCGATAGTTGTTACAGAACGACGTGAACCCTTTTTAAAGATAGGGACAACTATCGACTCATTCCATGACGTTGGTACACACTCTAGTTCCCAAACCTTTGTAAACAACGTCGTCAATTCCTTAGTCAAAAAGTCACCACCATCTTTAAAAAGAGCCGGAGGTAAGTCATCTGGGCCAGGTGATTTGTAACGCTTCAAGAGTTGGAGTTCCTTGCGGACTTCCTCCTCATTTGGTGGATCAGTCGTCACCGGCCATGGAGGGCAGGACAGTCTGACCGATGTTGCCGGAGCAGCAGGCCAGTTGAACTGCCCTTCGAAAAATTCTGCCCATCGTCCAAGACGTCGATGGATGTTAGTGATTGGCATCCCATCATCCTCGCAGATTGTTTCACTCACACCAGACTTCTTGCTGCCAGTGGCTCGGATGAGCTGGAAGAGCTTCCGGTAGTTACCAGATGCAGCTGCTGCTTCCAGCTCATTAGCACGCATCGACCACCAGGCTTCTCGGTCCTTACGCAAGCTTTGCCCAATTTCCTTACGTAACATCCTTCGTTTATGGTCAAACTCACGGTCACCCGGAGTAGACCGACGGGCTTCAATGAGTTGTAAGGAACCAGAAGAAACCCAGTGCTTAAAGCGGGACGTTTCGCAAACCCACAACTGACTGTTCCCGCCATTTTCATGGCGTCATGCAATTGCAACCAATGCTCATCTATACTTTTCGGTGGAGTGGTAGCTAGCCTAGAGGCTAGCTCGGTTCGATACTTACTTGCAACAGAAGTTGCAACCAGCTTGCTAACATCAATCCGTTGATGGCGGTCACTTCGTTGTCCACTGAAAAGTAAGGCAAGATTGGCGCAGACCAAGGCATGGTCAGAGTCCAGATAGGTACTCCAAAAGGAGCGGCAGTCTTTACACAACCACGCCAGCGGTAGCTGATCGCGATGTGATCAATCTGAGTCCAGGCTTGAGATGCAGAGGGAGGACGCCAGGTGGCACATCGGCGATGACTGTGCCGAAAGTTAGTGCTAGCCAGAAACAGGTTGTGGTCTGTGCAAAGTTGCAGTAGACGGTCCCCGTTATCTGACCTGCGACCAACGAGTCCCCATCGGCCACCTAAACGACTCTCTTCTGTGCCTAGACGCCCGACCTGAGCATTCAAGTCTCCGGCTAGTACTACAATATCTGTCGAACGCACTTTCTGGAGAAGAACTGATAACTGGTGGTAAAACTCATCCTTGATTGCATCCGGGCTGCAATCTGTCGGGGCATAGGCGGAGATGACGAAAAGACATCGTTTCTCACGCCGATTTCTTCTCACTTTGATGGAACTTTCTAATCTAACAGCACATAACCGACTGTTAATGGGGATCCAATCGACTAGTGCTGCCTCAGCTCTAGCGCTTAGTGCGACACCAACGCCAGCAAGACCAGACGAAGATGCCACAGGGTCCCCGGATAAGCGCACGTAAAACAAGCTTTTCGAAGCGACAGATGGAGATCGAATTTGTAGTACTTCGCCAGAGTCTTGAATACGGGTCTCGGATAGACAACAAACGTCGATATTAAGACTTTCCAAAGACATAGCCAGCCCTATCTGTTGTCCGACCTGCATAAATGTGCGAACGTTGAAGGCAGCCAGTTTGAATGGTGCACGTGGTTTCAGAAAATCTGCTTCAGTCCTCGTATTCGGTGGTAACATACAATTTTCAACCGGACAGTGACTCGAGAACGTTAGATACAGTCGGATTTCCACCAAAGACGAGCCGCTGTATAAGTATAAAAGAGGGTGAATAATGTGGAAAAAAAAAATAATAATAATAATAATAATAATAATAATAATAGTAATAGTAATAATAATAGTATTAATAATGACAATAATTGTAATGATAATAATCTGAATCAATTGTTTGTTTTTCAAAGCGAGAAAGGTAATTTCCATAGGCATAAAGAGTTCATCAATTTGTGTGTGGGCTGTGATACTGCCCGGGTGCCCAAACCGAAGCAGGTGGTTATCTTAGGGGGCCACTCCCCGAGCCTTTGACCTAAAGGTCTAACCCACAAGGCAGTGGAGCATCGTAAGGAGATGCAGTCCCATGGTAGCCGGTGACCAACGATTGGTTCATACGCCATTCGTTCCCGCAGGATACTGGAGCCCATGTGCACCATTGATTTGGAATCCGGTTAAAGCGCCGGACATTCGCTTTTCGTCCTCTCATTTTCGTAGACAACACCCCCGCCACGAGAAGGCAATGAGTAGGACTTCCCTGGCAGAGGCTGTATACGCGTGGCCGTGTGAGAGTATTTCGAGAGGGAGAGCGGACTCTCCCCACTCTCGGCCGTACCAGGGCATTCAGTCCCACTGTACGGAGCTGAAACGTGGAGAACTACTACAGCTATCATCAAGAAGGTACAAGTATTCATAAATAGTTGTCTACACAAGATACTCAACATCCATTGGCCGGATACCATCAGCAACAGCCTTATGTGGGAGAGGACAAACCACGTTCCAGCTGAAGAAGAAATTAGGAAAATATGTCGAAGGTGGATAGGACATACATTTCGGATTTCACCAAGCTGCATTACGAGGCAAGTGCTAACTTAGAATCTTGAAGGGCAGCGGAAAAGAGGAAGACCAAAGAACAGTGTTTCGAGAGTTGGAAACAGACATGAAAAAGATGAATAGCATGTGGAAACAACTGGGAAGGATTGTTCAGGAGAGAGTTGGATGGAGAATGCTGGTGGGTGTCCTATGCTCCTGCACGAGGGGTAACAGGAGTAAGTAAGTAAAAATAGCGAGTGTATTTTCGCACGCACTGCTCATGTCCAAATTACAGACTTTGACGGCAAGTAGAAGTAGATATCTAAAAATTAGTTTCAATATAAGCGTGTAGAAAAACTAAATTAAGATACTTTAAAAGCAGCCCGCTACTACTGGTTTTGGAGTATTATATCATTAATGTAAACTGCAATATTGACTGTTATAATGTATTTATTGGGCTGTAACTGATAAGACACCAATATTCGAATAATAATTGATTAATAAGATAAGGACAGTGAATATATATACCCATCGAAAAATTTTAACAACTAACCTATCTATATTTATTTTAAACTTCTGTAAGTCGACTCATTTTTAGTCTCTAATGTTTGGTTTTTTTTGAATTGTAAAAAGCTTGATTTATTCCCTCGTTTCCCCCCTGTTTCAGGCGTTTGGATTATTTCTTGGTATCTGAACGAATTTTAACAAATGTCAGCGATCAGGAAATACGTTGTGGAGTTACTGGAAGCGATCACTGTCCAGTTGTTCTATATCTTCAAATCTAAAACTCCATTTGACAAGATCTATTCAAACAGATTACTATCAACAGTATTTATAAATACCAGAATAAATATATTTTATGATTGAGTTTATGGAGTGGTATGACGAAAATGTGAAGTGTTACGACCATTGAATGATTTTGCTTTGAAATCATTTTGGTTAGTTTCGATGAAATATATTTCGTGAAAGTGTTAATGGGAGGGCAGAACTACAGGGAAGATTTTGTTTAAGTTTAGAAACTTCAAAGCACATAGTTTGGAGACTTATTCAGTAGTTTTGCTTCGAGTACACTCACAATAGCCTTAGAATTAGACAACTACAAATATTGAGCGAAATAGAATAAGTGTTCTCTTAGTGAAAACTATGGACTCGACCAAATGTGATAAAAGCATCCCCCCAGAACTGTTGATGATATATGACACCATATAACTCTCTAATCCTAACCTCAACATGTATCATTGGAAAATATTAGTCGATTGGATCATCTTCTTTTGTGTAATTAGTAGATGTTGAAAACGTTTTACAAAATGTTATCACATCCTTTAAAATGTATCAGCGTTGCTTATTTAGCTGTTCAACCATATACCGACAGGCCATTGGGTTAATAGATAAACTCGTATTTATAGCCAGACTAGAACACTTTTATGACGAGATAAATCTAGTAAGTACCACTATCTAAAATACATCTTGTATTCTCTTTAACGATTCATAAAAAGGTCAACGTAATTTCACACTATAATAATTCAGCTACTAACAAGCTGTCAGTAGCTGAATTATGAATCGTTCGATTGTTTGGGTTTTGATTGTGAAGCTCCTGCAAAATTAATGGGAAAATAATTGTTGTATTTCATTATGAATTTATCTTAGTATTTAGCTATCTTGGAATATCTGCATCAAAAACACGAAATTCGTTAAAGGATTCTCTTTTAAATTAATTTATGTTCATGCTGTACAATCATTCATATATATATATATATATATATATATATATTCCTTGAGGAACTATGAACAAACATGACATAATAGAAAGATTATAATCCTAGGTTACATGGTGTGGATAATAATAAAAGGCTATGAAAATTCTACGGGATGTTTGATTATAAAAGTGCGTATGAAATTAGTTTACAAATATCGAACTGTAGTGTGAGTCGAGTTAGATGATCAAAACATCTTTAAAGGTGTTTGAAAGATTAAACGAAATGAAGTGATATAAGAAACAATTGTCAATAAAATCATAGGGATTTAATAAGTGACTAAAGACAAGGGGATATAGTGAAATGAAGATAAAAAATACGGTTGATAATAGATTAAGGCTGCGACAAATATAAGAATGATACTTCATTTGTACGCAAAGTTCAGGCTTCATTTCATGGGTAGCAAGAGCTTCTGATGTCTTCACAAGTTGAGCACGAAGAAATGTTGATAGATCTGGATGAATCCTGTAAACGAATTTACAATCAACATACGGATTGGTTGAGTGCTTGGAGTCAGTTTAGTGTTCAAAGATAAACTCCTAACGGCTTTCATCTCGTCCCTATAGAAGTATTATGGAATTTGTGTTGAGAGCAAGCGCTGGCCACGGCCTATATACCTCGCTTCACAAGAGCAGGTAATTCGGTAGACGTAGAACTTAGTAGTAACTTTGTTGAGAATTACTTCCTCTTATGAATTTTGTGTTTCTAATATTTTAGTGGGAAATGTCGATGTATATCTGAATCACTCCTTAAATATCTAGTACTGGATATAAAGGGACATACTAAAGAAACTATAGTATTATGAATTAGTTGTTTAATTTTGTTAGTGTGCGGTTTTTAAGGAGTAGATCTAAACGCATCTTATGTTGTTGAGTTAGAAAATCCTCTATACTTGTTATGCGTACGTTATATTAGATCAAGATTTGGAAGTTAGGTTTTATAATTAAGATATCTGACTGATTAACAGCCATAGAGTATATGGGCAACAATTAAAGATTAATAGGTTGTGATGAAGAGCGATCAATGTATACATAAGGTGTGCGGTAGCAGTTTACTTTATGAAAATCTGTATGTTAGAAGAACTAGAAAAATGAGTTGAGTATTCAGCCAACTTGTAATCCACCAACGTTTTGTAATCAAAATAGCTGATAACAATTTAAAATGAACAGTCGTAGATTTAAAGTAAATCTGAAAACTAGTAAAAGAATCAGTAAGGTTTCAAAAGTATTATTTACGAAAGTCTTATCAGCCAGATAGATATTTGAGGGTCCATGTATCAAACCTTAATTGAGGATTTCTCAATTTCAGTACCAAATAGTACTTAGGAGTATATCATATAACGTTTAGACATCAAAGTACTAACGCAAGGAAACGGACGGACGGTTATTTATTTCTAATTTGTAAGTTGTGAAATTCACTATCTCGATAGGCTATGCCTAACCTAACTGGTTAACTCATTGATAAAGGGGTTTAGCATCTGATCTGCGACAGATCATGCAAACCATATACCTGACTACCTCTCATAATTTCAACAAATACTTTTTTTACCTTTCCCACATTCTTGAAGGTACCAAAACACTAACCTTTATTCTTAAACGTACATATCAAGAAAGAAACCGTTCACTGTCTTTTCTAGATTTAGATTAAAAACTGGGTTCCAATAGCATATTACTCGTTGGGGAAAGCGGTACCTCATGTTGAGTTTATTCAATCATTGATTCTGAATCTTTTAATGATGACTTTAGAGATGTTTCATCTTAAAAGGAGCAAACATCTAAGATTAACTAATACTCAGGTTAATATACACGATCTAAAATCGTGGTTTAAGGACACTTCTATATTTCATATGCAACAACTTTTAGTGAAAAGATTATATTATCAACATTTGAATTTGTCTTTTTTAAAAAAAAAATCAGATCTAAGTACCTCTGTATTCATTTTTAAAGTACACACTTGAAACGTATCTTTGTAAAATTTTCCACTATTATTCACTATACAGCAATATTTTCCATTTACACACTTTTGTTATCCAAAACGTCCTCAGATATAATTTTTGTTTGATGACTGTGTCTTATAGTTTAATTATAATTTGATTTTTTTTTAAATTTACATTCACCATCATCAATCTCAATGTACATTCGCTTTATAGAATCATACTTATTTGCATGACTTGTTATTAAACAATTAGTATCCACGTGAAGCCTTTGAACTGTGTGCTACTTTCAGTACAACTCCTCATACAGTTTCTTTTCCAGATTTTACATTTTGTGATTTATGGAATAATGCAGAACAACTGTGACAAGATTGTATTTGTGTAAAACTATTTGAATTACCTTTAATAATTTCATTTTCTTAAAAAAAGAGCATTTCAAGAAACAAACAAGAAGAGTATATCATTATTGATAAGAATTCGAATTATTCTGTTGTTAATATTCGTGAAAACATTTTTATCAGTCATTGTTGGCATATGTACATTCTAAGTGGATTAATTCGATATAGCCATTTTGTAACAAGTTTTATATAATAGATTAACTGTGATTACCAATAAAGTTCAATACACTCGCTTTATCGAAATTGGAACTAATCATCAGCTGCATGTATTTGTATCCCACTGTTGATATTTACATCAGTACTCTAACCCAGCTAGTGAATCCACATAAACACTAGCTTCACAATTGACTGATCACTGGGTGGTGAACAATGTCATGCATATCAAGTCCTTATTTAGTGCAGATCAAATGACATCGATCAAGTTGGAATGTAGCCACTAGTCTAGGTGACTCGACACTGAGTGCACTATATATATTGCACTACAGGAGGTCAGTCGCGGCCCGGATAATTCAGTGGTAACGTCTCTGACTGTGAAGCTGGGTGACACGGGATCGAATCCGCCAATGAGCACCAGTTCCCTTGAGATTACAGGAACACCTTGCTGACGAGTGCCAAGTAGCACGAAACTCGAGTTCAGGGTTTCCTGTCGACTACCTCCAACCACCATCTAAACACTAGCTTGTTCAACCGATATGATGTTGATGTTACTATTGGTGTGTGCTCGAGTCCTGATGTGGACATGAAGAGTAACTCAGTCACACCCAACCTATGAGTCTTAAATAACAAGAAATGGGTCTACTGAGTTCCACTGCTGGTCAAAATCTTTTAATTCTTTAAAACAAGATGATTACTTGTTGATTATTAGTTACGTTAAATGAGAGGACAGAATTGTGTACATAACCATATCTTTTGAATGTTAGCAACTGGAGCGCTTTTATTTCGTTATGCAATTTTGTACAAGATATGCTTCATTGTGGAAAATATAGAAATGTTTATTAATTAAACATTGAAGTAATGAAATACATTTTGGTAATTCTAATTTAGGTATATTTTTCATTTATTGTCCATCAATTTGAACAATATTTACCGATGCTCACTTTCCTTACTATATTTCTCATCCCATTTATCATAAATATATTTTTTGTTATATCCCAATTAGCAGAAAATTGTATTTCTGAAGTTTCGTGACCTAATATAAGTCAGCATAAATAAATACAAAAATATATTTATTATTATTATTATTAACTTTCTACCCAGTGATCAGTTTATTTGAAACTATCAAGTCCAACCTTGAGATTGATACCTACACTTTATTTATGTTGTAATGAACTGACTGAAAATGAAAAGAGGGAGTATTGTAATGCATATAAGTTGGACTGTTCAGTCAACACGGAAATACGTTATTGTTATATAGAGAAAAAAAATCACTAGTGAGTCCAAACTAGCTTGAAACACAGGTTCAGAGTTTATTGTCGACTACCTCTATAACCGATTAACATCTCAATATAGTATACGTAATACTGAGTCATTCTGATTAATAGCCAAATCGGAACTTGATTAGTAGAATTCAGTCAATTCTAAAGGATTAGACAAACGACACTGACCACTCTTTAGTGATCAGACAATATGTATATTCATAGTTAACGAAATTAATGCCATAGGAATATCAGACAATATTTTATATACGTGTTTGTCACTGGTATTTTAAGAAGTTTCAAGTCAATGTTTTTAGTTTTTTTGAATATGTTTAATGAAATTGTACAGTATATGAAACTACATATCAGATAAAGTACATTACTTTTGTACTTACAAAACATATTACGCTCCACATAATATTGTGCAACATTTGGGACTAGATATATAAAGTACTGTTTGTGTCATTGTTAACTTTTCCTTAATAAAATCTCTTGCTACCAAATATACATGCATATTCATTTACTCACAAAAGCTTATAAATCATATTTTCCACCTTGTATTGATCAAAACAACAACTTTAAAAGAATTTCACTCTCGCTCTTTTTTTCTTTAAAAAAAAGACGTTTGTCTCCTTTCTATGTTTGTTTTGTAGTTTTACTTCTTTCGAATCTTTGTATTCAATAATCAGTATTGTCAGTGTTAAAACTATGTATAGAGATACTTTTGACGGGAAAAAAAACACAACGACAACAACAACAACAGGAAAGCTGACAAATAACAAAAACTTTTAAATTATTGAAAACAATTCTAAATTATTGTCAGGAAGTATATTTTACTAAGTCTACTAATGATGACACAATGCTGGATCAATAATATTAGTGAACTGTTTCGTTCAATCCAAAGTATGAATTATATATATAATATGACCAGTCTTTTTACTAAATTGTTCTTGAAAAGATGAATTTGTCTGCATTATTCATGGTGTTTTGATGATTCACGACCAAATGTATTGATATTCTTTACATTCGTGAATCCATATATAGATGTAAATAATAATTCGGACAGTAAGTCGAGATAGATTTATTCCTAGACAATATGCAGTTATACATGAAATTATTAATCGAAATGTTTAACAACCAAAAATCTTCAAAAAATATTTGTAACTTAATCATAAAGTTTCCTACGTTTTAGTTACTTTCCGGGCTTGGGACCGGCGGTAGTCCAAAGGGGTTCCAGGCGGAGTTATAGAAAATATTTAGGAAAATAAATATAAAATTAATTTTAGATGATTGATCTCAGTTGTAATAACACTGAAGATCAGAGAAAATGGACAGTTGTTTCATTTTAGTATGGGACTTGTCTTCAGTGGACACACTATTTCACCAAAGATTTGTGGAGGCCCGTTATTTAATCGTCATTAAGATTGAAAGATGTTGTCGAAAGAGCTCTCGACTTTAGTGGCCCGTGGATTTGACTCCAAGTAGATGGTAATGATGATTGTTGTTGAAATATATATATCGCCTATCCACGTATATAATCGTCGACTTAAATCGCGTTAGTCAATAACGGAATTAAATAAGTCAAATAACGAGAATGGACTTGTGAATACATATATTTTGTATATAAAGTGAATGGAATGGGACAAAGCAAAACGACACGCAGTGGGGATGGCGGTAAGCCAACTCCCCTTTTAACCAAGCGTTAATCAATATTTATAGTTACACAAAAGTAAGTTACAAACACTTGATGAGTAACGGGATAAGAAATGTACACACACCTACGCGCTCATATAAAAACAGTGAAGACTGATAAGCGAATAATTAACAAGGTCAGAAAGTGACTCAAGTAGGATGAATAGAATGGGCTGTCCGAAAGCTAGAATAAGGTATATGGGCTTAACATAATAACCGACACTATAGATTGAAACTAGGAGCTTTAGATCTCGTGGTGAACAACTCATCATTAAATTATCTAAACGATTGGAACAACCTTACAGAAGACCATTTTATATAAACAACAGTAGTTTGTTCACCAGTGGTTTACTTCCAAATAAGTTGTAATGCGAATTTCTGATCGATTATGTTCAGCTATATGGAGAGTAAAACAATGGTCATCAGAGAAATTAAATAATCATCATGCGATATTGAGGATTAATTAAAGCTAGAAATGAGAAATTTTGGATTTCAACTCTATAGTCTGATGGTTGAACACTTTTCACCAGGCCTCAAAGTCCTGGGTTCAAATCTCGCGTGGGAGACGGGATCGTGGACGCGCACTGCTGAGGAGTCCCACAATAGGATGAAATGGCCGTATAATTCTTCCAGGTTTTCTATAGTGGTCTAGCTTCAATTGACTCATGATCTCAACCATTGAAATGACTATAATATCCACAAAATCTCCTGATATAAAATATTAATATCATCATATAAAAGACCTTTATGAACAGTATGATTCTTCATTTCAAAAGACAATATTATGTATATATTAAATGTTCATAAAATCATCTTTAGTATTATTTTATTGCATATTACGCAGCTCAATTTTGTAAATAGACTCATTTACAAATAGATTAATCTAAATCAGTAAAAAATTCGATTTTTTTTATCTTTTAGAAAAAGATTTTAAAAAAAACCCTCATGTGAATTTTAAAGCAAATTGCCATATTATATATCCATTCAAAAAAAAAATTGGCCTAGTTTCTAACAGGCGTATACAGTATCTATCTATATATATTTACCTATCAATTTATTTATCTTTTTTTTGACCTATTGATTACTGATTGGTTAAAAAAGATTTAACCAATAAGATTTCGGTGTCCCAAAATTCCATTCATAAATAAATAAATAAATAAATAAATTTATTTATTTATTTTAAAAAAAAATAAAGAAAATGTATCAGCAAAATTATGAAAATAGTTTTACTCATCAAAATACAAATGAAAATATAAATCTTTATAAGGAATTAATTAGTTTGCAAAATGCTCAATCAGGACATATATAATAATAATAATAATATGAAATGAATGGAAGATAAACATCATTAATATACTTTTGATAGATCTGATTTATTTTTTATTACTTTCATGAAATAATGCCTTTTCGTCGACATGCTTATGATTTTATGTTAGATGATGGATTAGACACTCGTATACCGGTGTATAGTGATGAAGTGTTCAAACAAGGTATTCATTTCTGTGCCAAGGTGAGTATTAATATTTATGTTAGATAGGTTGAAACTAATAATGAATTTGAGTGAATATAAATATTATTATTATTAATAATAATGGTATTTGCTAGTAATATATACTTTATAAATATTATTCATATAATGGGTGAATAAATTGATCACAGTTGATTTATTAGTGTAGGGTTGTGAAAATTGTTAAGTTTTAGTTGAGATCATGAATCGATCAATATTAGACCAGCATTGAACAGCCGTTTCGTCCAAGTATGTGACTCCGCAGCAGCTCATGTTCACGAGTTTGCACATTGGATTCGAACTAAAAAACGTTCTTGACCGCGGATGCTGACTGCTGAGGAGTTCCATAGTAAGAAGAACTAACTGTCCATTGTATCCAGGTTTTCAATGGCGATCTAACATTGTCAACTCATGGTCTGAATGAAAACACAGTTGGTTTGCTTTCATCATGTAAAGGTTTACATTTATGAAAATATGTAGTGTTTATTATTATCATTGTAATAATGGTTTGGTTTCACTCCATGATTTAGTAACGATGTGTTATAAACTACAAAATTTGTAAATTTAATTAGTGCTGTTTACTAAAGAGTTTTTTATGTCCCAATCTATACTCCGCTAATATATAGAATATGAAAATGATGGGATTTATGACTAGTGTACATATTTTGACGGATCGCCTTTTATTTCATTTATGTTATGATTATACTTACATGCAAACTATAAAAAAGGTGTATTCCCAGATGATTAACTATAATAAGCAAACATTCAAATCTTTGCAATGTTCACCTATCAAAACGTATCAAATAGCTAATTATCTTACACTTTTCAGTCAATTTGTAGTTAAATATTGAAATAAAATTAGTCAAATAATGATTTAATTCTATGATCAGATCGTAAGTTCCATTTCTATTTCATCTATTGAAGTTTGTGCTAATAAACAGTTCCAATAGATTTGGAATTTTAGTTTTGAGGCCAAATCCATGAATCTTTTCTTAGCTAATAAGTTGAATAAATCTTAGAAATGTTTTGTAGAAATTTTTTTCATATAATTTTATTAAATATAATGATAGAGATGTGAGGGTAGTTCTTTGGTATAACTCAATATTGATAAAACTGATCGTGTGTACTGATTTCTTTGAATATACACTTTAAGTTTTTAAGATTTTGAACGTAAAAATGTTTAAACTAAATACATAGAATATATTATATGTATTATACGAATACTCAAATAATTAAGGTCAATAGGAACCAATCACCGTCGAGGTGTACAGAACAAGCTGTCAAACACTTATGGAGAAATTCGAACACTTCACTTCTATCTGAAGTTTGTGCTGATGATGTCGTTCAGAAGAATGGTGAAAACTCCACGATCAAACCATTCAGCTCAGAGAACAAAACTCCATCAAACACTCAAATAATTAAAATATTAATTACTTATTTATGAATAACTAGTGTATTGATTTCATATACTAGTAAGCCATGAATACCTAATTTCAATTCTTATATACAGAGATTTATTCAATTACTGTAAATATAAAAACATTAACAGATGGTTTATTATAAATCATATCGGATAAAGTATATCTTAACATATTTGCAAATATTTTCATTCAACTATTATTATTATTTATATCTTGGAACAATATAAACTTTAAATCATTCAAGTTTTCAATAGTAGATATTTGAAGGCAAGTAGTATAAACTAACTCATATAATTAGTATGTATATGAAAATGAAATTTTGTCATGAAGGTATTATAGTAAATGAGAATACAATTGAGGACAATCAAATGTATTTGAATACAGAATATCTTAGTAAAATTTAAGAACCATACAGTAATAACTGAATTTGTGAAACGTTAATCAGTCGTCTCAAACTTCATTATTTCTTCATTTCCACACCAGTCATTCTCTGTTCTCGTTCTCTTTTCTTCGATCTTATTAACCTTCTACCGCCAGGCATTTCACTTTCGATTGATGGTACATATTGCTTATACCTGTTGACATCCGTAGCACACACCACACCATACACCATATGAACTTGAATAATTCATAACTCTGTACGTGAAACGGACATTCAGATATAAGTGGTTTAATTTCCGATTTCGATCTCTTATCAGCCATTTCAAGTAATCATTTTTAAATAGAACAAATAAATAGGACAAACTGTTTTCATAATCATCTTTTATAATACAAAAATCTATTGTTATAATGTTTATGTTAGTTTTTAAACGGTATTGGAAACTCTTTAAACATTTCCATTTCTATCCTTTGAAGCAAGGGCTTGTTGTCTGATCTTTAGATTCTGAGTGTAACCTGATGTTTATAAAACATAAAATAAAAATAAAATGTTTCCTTACTCATATTTTAAAAGAAATTTTTTTATTGGAAAAAATGACCATAAGGCATAGCAACTTAATCCCCCCCCCGTCCTTTAGATTTAATTATAGTTCTGAGATCATAGTTTCCAATAACTTTAAAGTTTCGTTTCAATACACCAATTTATTCAAAATTTTGTAAATTTTTTTTATAAAAAAATAAATGCAAAATACATATCTAATCTTTCTAATCAGAAGAAATGGTAAATTTCACTCGATCCCTTATATTCAAAGTTCAGTCATATTTACATATAATACAATTTACAATATTTCATCTTTTAATTCATCTGATTAACATAAATTGACAGAACTTAAATTAAGGCTTATTTCTATTCTTATGTAATAGATATGCAAAATTAAAAAAAATATATATACGATTACTCAAATAAGATTCTTACAAGTGTATATTTCATTATTTCATTCTCCTACTTTAATTCAATGATAAAACAACTAATATTTCAGTTTAGTATATAAATAATGAACTTAAATTTAATCTTTATCATTATCAAAGGTTATAATGATGGGAGTTGCTATTGTTTGAACAGTACAAACAGTATACATGTATACATACGTTATACAATAACTCACTACTGAATAACATATCATTAATGTAGTATATATATATATATATATATATATATATATTTATATATATATATATATATATATTATATATATATATATATATATATATATACTTACTGGCTTACGCCTGTTACTCCCAATGGAGCATAGGCAACAGACCAGCATTTCCAACCCATTCTGTCTTAGGCCTTTCTTTCCAGTTCTATCCAATTTTTGTTCATTTTCTCATGTCTGTCTCCATTTCTCGACGTAATGTGTTCTTTGATCTTCCTCTTTTCCCATGACTTTGAGGATTCTATGTGAGGGCTTGCCCTTCTCTTTTATCTGGGCTTGGGACTGGCAGTAGCCCTAGAGGTGCTCCAGGTGGAGTTATATATATCTCGCCGGTGATTCATTCATTTTTCATTAGTAAGTTTTCATCTGATCATAATTGCTTAACTGAGAAAATAATTTTATTTAACTATGAAAAGAAATATGTATATATAATTGCTACATTGATCACACGTAAATGTTACAGTTGCATAACTACTGATCAGCATTTCATTCATAGAAAAAAGAATATTTGAAATAGAATATAATGATACATGTATACTTTTGAATGAACCATCTTATTACTATTATTAGATAATAATATAATCATGAAATAGTAACTTTTTATCTTTTTACTAACAGAATATACAGAATATACACCTAATTTAATGACATTCTATATATTAATTAACAAGAACCAATAAACTAGTAAGAAATTGAATGATTAAATCTTTAAGATTAAATTTTGTATCATAAAACTATAAACTAAATGACATAGTAACAAGAATTTGTAACGTTACGTCATAAATATATAACTGATAATAATAGAGATTCATTGATAATTATCTTAGAAGTGTAATACTAATCAATTAACAATAATACATTGTAATCTAAACATAATAATCTATTTAAAGTAAGTATTATCATTATAGAAAAATATTGATAGAATGAAGGGAAAAATTTATGTAAAATGATACCGGTAACATACAAGTATAAATGAAATATCAAAGAGATCTGAAACATAATTTAAGGAAAATATGACAGTTTTCTTTTTCTTTTCAAAATATAGAAATAATAAAGAAAGGAGAATAATAATGTTAACTAAGTTTAAGATACAACCAAGACAATGATATAAATATCAGAATGGGTTTTGTGGAGATTTTTAGAAATTTCACAGGTTGAAATCATGAGTCAATTGAAGCTAGACCACCATCCTACGGGGTGCGGGATCGTGGATGGGACTACTGAGGAATCCAATACTAGGACGAAACGGCCGTCCAGTGCTTCTAGGTTTTTCATGGTTGTCTAACTTCAATTGACTCATGATTTCAACCTATGAAATGATATAAATAGGATGTATTTTTTCTTTCTTTCTACAAATGTAAAGTTTAGATGTTGCCTAATCGATAGTCAAAAGTTTTCACTGTTTTAAACAGTTAAAGATAAATGAGTTTGTAAGTATCATTTTACCAAGGTTCGACTTGATCATTTCAAATGTTTAGATTGTTATAAATTGATATGATGGAAAGAAAGGTCAATTTTTGATTGAATTACTCATAATTAGTTTTATTCAACAGTACATCCGTTTTGATTCAACGAGATGATCATTCAATATAGTATTTGATTTGTTTCCCAGTATGATATTTTCTTCTGTATAATATACGATATTTTTGTATTCAGTTGACATGAACTATGCTCAGTAAGTGATTTATTGTAACTGAGTATGTGATTTGATCCTAATTATTAATCAAAATGGGTGTACAATAAATATATAAACCAGTGTATCTTAGACGATATTGATTCGTCGTTGTCATAGTGTTTTGGGGTTAATAAATCATCACTTATACAAGTCTTTGTGTTCTTACTTTCGTATCGTGGGAATTGCCGATGTCCCTCGTTCCGAGTATAAGTGATCAGCGTTTTTCCGGCACAGCAATCTGCGACGACCAAATATAACATGACTAAAAATAATATATTTGTAATATCCCAATGAGTAGAAAAATTAAATTTT